AAACACACCATATAACAGACAAATACGTACACAATTTTACAGAAAAATACAAAGTTGTCTAAACTGGATTAGATAACGGACATTCTCTGCTTTGTGTTTTGTTCTCTTTGTCTGCAGAAGTTAAAAACAACAACCTCAAAATGATGCAACAATTTTATGCATTGTTATTTTCTAGGTCACATAAAATGATAATACACACACCATAGACACACATACACACCACAAACCACACACACACATACATACACACACCACACACACACATACATACATACACACAGCACACACTATTAGCCATTTAGACGACAATTTATTTAAATAAATGCTGTTGGTAGTACACTGATTGTTTATCATCCGAGTTTCAAAGTCAGTTCAATTTTTGACCTAATTTTCTTTGGGATTTCGAGTTTAAATGAATGTATGTGTGTTTGTGTGTGTGTGTGTATGTGTACATATATGTTTGTGTGTGTGTGTGCAAACATATGTTTGTGTGTGTGTGTGTGTGCAAACATTGTCTTTGTGTGTGTGTCTGTAATGTTTAAAGTTTAATTTTATGTTACTATAAATAGTGATGGTTGTTGTCGTTTTTGCCTCTAATTTTTATTATTATTGCTGTTATTATTGCTATTGTTGTTATTGTTGTTTTATTGTCATTGTTACTTTGTTATTATTATTATTAAAAATAATTGTAAACAAAAATAAAAATCCATCCAATCATCCCCCTTCAAAAAATACATCGTACATTGAAACATAGCGTTCATTAAAACAAAAATAGAATCGTCATCATCATCGTCGTCGTCGTCATCATCATCTTCTTCGTCTCATCATCAACAACAAATATAACATTAGAATTAACAACAGTTATAATAATAACATTATTATAATTACTAATACTGCTGCTACAACTTTTTCTGCTGCCGCCGCTGTTTTCTACTACTATTACTACTACTAATAATACTACACTTACTTCTACTACTACTACTACTACTACTACTACTACTACTAATAATAATAATAATAATAATAATAATACTAATACTACTACTACTACTAATAATAATAATAATAATCCAAAAAATTTTATTTTTAATTTTGTATGTGTTATTTTCTTCCTTTTCCGTTTTGATTTATGCTGCTTTTATGGTTTCATTATTATTATTTATTATTATTATTTATTATTCTTCTTATTATTATTATTGTTGTTGTTGTTGTTTTTGATAATGATTATTGGTTCTATTTGTTTATTTACAAGGCAACTAACACGTGAAAGTCACATTTCTTTGTTGATGGCTTGTTTTTCTAGTTTTATTTATCAGTATTCTTCTTCCTCCTCTTTTTCTTCTTCTTCTTCGTCTTCTTCTTCTTTATTTTATTAATATTATTATTGTTATTGTTATTATTGGGGGTATAGACAAGAGGGACCTTGGTCTCCAGGGCTTCCTTCCCGCAAAAAAATTTTTGCATTCGAACTCGATCGCAACTTTTAACAAGCTTTGCTTTTTCCTTTCTGTTATAATTATTACTGTTGTTGTTATTGTTGTTGTTAGTATTATTATTCATATTATTATTATTATTATTTATTATTATTATTCGTTACCAGACGCAGAAAAACAACGTGTTACAACGTTCTGTCGCTGTTACATCAGAAAGTTTTGTCGTTAATAAGGGACAGGAGTGCAATAAATTACATGTAAAATTTCTATAATAACACCGTGATGAGGTTTTTAACATAAGCAACAACAACACAATAACTTTTTCTCTTTCTCTTTTTCTCCTCTCTCTCTCTCTCTTTCTCTCTCTCTCTCTCTCTCTCTCTCTCTCTCTCTCAGTCTCTGTAGAAGTGCCGCAATAACCTGGTTCGAATACTATCTGTCCGAAATTCAAAGACTATCACATGCATATACCTGTGTGTGTGTTTTGTATTGTATACGAAGTATATGCGTGCGTGCGTGCGTGTGTGTGTGTGTGTGTGTGTGTGTGTGTAGTTTTTGCGAAGCCTAAGTCGTGTGGTGTGTATTTGTAGTGTGTATATGTGTCGTGTGTTGCTGATAGTACAGCATTTGTGGCTCGAAAGGTTTAGCTGGAGGTATAAAATGATGTCTATGGTGCATATGATGTTTACAAATAGGAATGATGAGGAACAAATCAACAACAACAATAACAGCAACAATAAGGACAACAATAACATCAACAACAGCCATAACAATAGCAAAGTTTACTGTAACAGTTACAAAAATAACATCAGCTGACGCGGAGACTCCTTAATATTCATGATGACGAAATAACCACACTAATCTTCACGTAAGCCACGCCCAGCAAGGCCATTGAGAGAGAGAGAGAGAGAGAGAGAAAGAGAGAGAGTGTGTGTGTGTGTGTGTCTGTGGGTCCTACTGTGCAATTCTTTTTTAATTTTTTGTGTGTTTATTGCCGAGTTTTATAATGTTGTTTTGCAGTCGTATGCGTGTTAAGTTAGCACACACATACACACACACATAAACACACACGCACATGCACACACATATACGAACATATAAAGACACACACACAAATGCACATGTTCAAATATACCCATACATACGTACAAGCAATCATCACTGATAGATACCTACATAATTGTATTAACAATTATCTACACTGATGTTGTTGTTGATGTTGTTGTTGTTGAAGTTGTTGTTGATGTTGTTGCTGTTGCTGTTGTTGTTGCTGTTGATGTTGTTGTTGCTGTTGATGTTATTGTTGATGTTGATGTTATTATTGATGTCAATTTTGTTGCTAAGTTCACCCTTGCACATGTTTACAAGTTTATTTTTTTATCTAACTTTCTTATCATTCACTTTCGATACTAACCAATGCCATACATTCTATCTAAACTATAATCATAATAACTATAATATATATATATATATATATACATTTATATATATATACATTTATATATATATAATTTTACATATTTATTATATTATACTATGATTGAATCATTTATTACTGTGTATTTAATGTAGGTATATTTAAGCCCAGGTTTATATGATGGTATGTATGTATGAATGAATGTATGTGTGTACGTATGTATGTATGTATGTATATATGTATGTGTGTGTGTATATATATGTGTGTGTGTGAGTGTGTGTGTGTAACTCTATAAATAGACTGAACCGTGCCTAAGCCGAAGTCGCTCTTTCACGATTTTGTAGACCGTAATCGAGTCAGTGAGAAGATTTCATACATAATTTTCTTGTTTAAGTTTTACTAAATAATAAAATTAATAATAATAATAAAATTAATAATAATATTATAATTATTTACTTAAAATTATGGCCCACAATAATATATTTTTACATTTTTTTTTTAGTTTTTACAACTCATCTTCTCTCAGGAAATTGAGATCAACAAGGATCTGTTTTTTAAAGCGTAAAGTAAGTTCCTAATCTTTTTTTTCTTTTTCTTCTTTTTCTTCTTCTTCCTCCTCCTCCTCCTCCTCTTCTTCTTCTTCATCTTCATCTTCATCTTCTTCTTATTATTACTAGTATTATTATTTTATTATTATTAACAACGTAACGTTAATGTTGTTATTGTTGTTGTGGTTGTTGTTGTTACCGTCATTATTATCATTGTTATTCTTAATTAATGTCATTATTGCTGCTATTGTTGTCTATCTTCATTGATGTCATTAGTATTTTTACTACTCAACTTCTTGCTACTTTTAACGTAATAATAATAATAATAATAATAATGGAAAAAATCTTTCGTTCAGCAATAAAATCAATGAAAATGTTAGTACAAATAAAATAAAATAATGAAATAAAATAAAAAATGTCAAATGCAGTAAGTAGAGTATTAATCTGAGATGCTCATCATTCGAATCGAGAGAGTACGACCAGAGTTATTTGGTTTTAAAATTCTTTCATTTCACATTTCGGTCGGCAGAGTTATGGCATGATATGGCAGAGTTTATAAAGGTTATTGCAAAAATAATCAGTCCAAATAATATTTATTAGCTAAAGATATAATAATAATAATAACAACAACACAGACATGGCGGACACCATGGTAGAGCAGCCACAACTAGCAGCAACAAAGACGAGAGACTTAGACGTTGAAAATTCTCCGCCAGGAACCGGAAGCGGAAAGCACATCGCCATAAAAAAGGTTCAAATGACGTCATCGTCTGGTGGTAGTAGTGGGAGTAGTATGATGATGATGATGCCCGATATCTATAGTTCAACTCCTGGTGGTACTATATACTCTACAACCCCTGGAGGTGATTTGTAGTTTTTTGATGATGATGATGATGACGACGTTGTTGTTGTGATTATGATTGTGAGGATGTGTTTGTTGTGATAACGATGTGATGATGATGCGTTTATTATGATGATGATGAATATTTGATGATGGTGATGTTGTTGTTGTAGTTGTTGTGATGATGATTATGATGTGTTTGTTGTGATGACGATGATGATAGCGATGATGTGTTTGTTGTTGTGATGACGATGATGATGATTTGATGATGGTGGTGATGTCCATTTTGCCATTGTATTTAAGATTGAACATTTTTTAAAAAGTTATACAAACATAACTCAACACACGTAAACATATACATGCATACATACACGAATATTATACATTCATACACACACACACACGCACACACATACACATACACACACATACAAACATACGTTCACCTCACTCAATCATCTGTTTACAGAACACGTTTTTAACACACGCAAATTTTCTCAACAATCGATATTTATTGCTGTTATTATTATTATTATTATTATTATTTATTATTACTTATTATTATTGTTATTATTATTATTTCTGATATTATCATTATTATTTCTGATATTATTGTTATTACCACTAATTGAATCGATCGATA